ATATTTTGCAGAGTAAAATTTTCATCAATAATTGTTTTTTGCTGCAGGACAAGAAATGTTCAACAATCCAGTTTTTCCATTCACATTCACAACACCTTCGATTTCTTCAACACCTCCCCATTTTTTTCAATTTGCACCTACAGCCACCCATGCAGAATTCCCTTAGCACCACTGGCAGCTGCACTAACAAGAACTGAGCATCTCATATTATTAGACCTTTTTCTGCTACAGGTCCTTTATAGAGTCTAAATAGCCTACAAGCCAGACACAGCAATTAAATGTAAACAACCTTGGCAGAGAGAGGGAAGAAACAAAGCACTGAAAAAGGAACTGAAGAGGAAATCCAGGAGTTTTGAGCAGTCTTTAAAACTGGTGAAGTGGCTTTGTAGCGGGGGTGCTTCTTTTTTGAAGGCATTTTTCTTAGTAGCAGTTTCCCAAGTATAAGAACACATATTTCCGCTACAAAGATCTGTCTTGCCGGTCCCAGCCTAGCCAGCTGCCCTGACAGCTCTGCAGCATTCAGACCTGAAAGCATCAATTTAGAAATATCAGCTATGATGTCCCTGCCAGAGAGATTTGCACCTTTTTGTCTTCCTTACAGGTGACTCAATTTTAGTCTTTCACCTTTCTGTCTAGTACATACAATCATAATGGCAGCAAGAGAATGATTATTCTGACAGGTCGCCCCAGTATCTTGCTCTTTAGTCTTCCTGCATTACTTTCCAAAAATGTCTTTCTGTTTGCTTCCAATATTATCGTTGTTGTTATGGCCCCTCTAGGGTTTCTTTTTGGCTCTGTCAAAAGGTAGATTTCCCAAAACTATTTTCTCAAGGACTCTGAGGAGAGCACTTCATCCCAATGGCACAGACTTTTGTTCAAACCAATTCCTCTTCCTCTTTTCACTAGAAGTTGCACAGAATAAGTTTTACTTGGGAAATTTAAATAACTGAAATCATCAAGGAAAGTGCAAAGCTTCCTGGCAAAAGAGTTAATTCTGAATTCAGTTATGCATGTACTTGCATTCATTATTCCCAGGTTTTTACTGTCATTCACAACTCTCAGTTGCTCACAATTCTATTTATTAATATAAAGGAGGAAACATCCAACAGATTCTGGTCCTACAGTGAAACACGCATCTCTTTGATAGGTCATCTACTGACCAGACAATTAAAAAGATTGGAAGAGAGATACTTTCTAACATTTCTACTGCCAATATAATGGACTATTTAGGTATTTACAACCCAAAAAGAAAAAAAAATAATAAAGGTTAGAGGAAAAATAAGCAGCACAAGAAGTAAATACTAGGACCCAATTCTTTTATGAGGCTAAAAGACTTGCCCATAATAGCACAGAAAATCTGTGGAAGATAAATAAATACATCTCAGTCTCTCAAATTTCATAGGAACAATGTAGTCTTCCCTCTCTATGAACAGCACAGCTTCTATATTTTCAGTAGCAAACAACTATTGTGATTTATAATCTGTGTTAATATCTTAAACCATCACCTCTAAAAACAGCCTGGAGAGCTACATTGGTTTGAAGGGCAGTCTAATTACAAACTAATGTGTTATGTTGGACAAGAGTTAAACCACAGTGGTATAAATCCAAATCCACCAAAACAAAAAAAGTACATAAGAGTATTCAGGAAGACTTCACTGCCTTCTTGGTACATAGACATTTTTCATTTACTCACTATTTTCATGTCAAGATCAAAAGTTTATAGAATCTCTAATGCTCCGGGATATCATTATTAGAGATACTCCAGGCTTTGTCTTCATCCTTTTACTATTTTTAAAAGAATATTATTAATGAGGAACAGTGTGTAATTTTGTGCTTGGAAACAGATGAAATCAGAAGTGTGTGTCCCTGTGCTTTAATATGCAATTGGAACAAACGTGTGAATTAGTCACACAATGCAGCATCAGCTGTTATATTTGTTACAAGAATCTTTCTCCCAAGAATTCAACTGGCTGTTTGATTATGGATATGTAACTAAAGGGGTTTATCATGGCCCAAAATTTTGATTTTGTGAACCATACCTCAAAGTCTCTTCTCCAATGCCAGGTTGATTTCTGACATACAGTGACGTTTTTTGTTTCTTTTTTCGTTTGGTTTTGGGTTTTGTTTTTGTCATTTTTTTTTAATAAGCTAGAGCAAGATTATTTCATCATCTATATTTTAATAATAATGAATTAAAAAAATGAAAAATAGACTGGAATTTCATCAAATATAGGAGTAGAATTGTGTGTGGAATTTTATCTTGAACTCAGAGTCAAATTCCACAGATTTTCCTTGCTGAGCACTTTTCATGGACTATACCGCTACATCTGAACTTACCTGAAATACAAGAAAAAAACCACACACAATCTACACATTTTTGAGTAAAATCAAATGTTTTCCTTTCTTTTAAACTGGAGAGGAGTTATGCCTTATGCTATCTTGCTTAATTAATGAAAACACCTTTTGAGACAATGAAAAGATGCACAATGTCAGCTTGTATTCTAAAATTGTTCCAATTAAGTATTTAATTAATGCAATGATAATTCTCATCAGAAAACATTTTATTGCTGTTTTCCCTAAGACTTCACTGTTGTGAAGGTCTCAGTGTGGATAGGGCCTTCTCTATCATAAAGTCATCTTATGCTTTTTATAAACAGATATAAGAATCCATCTAAAATGGCAAAAGCAAATAGCACTCCCTAAATACACAGACAAAATAGGAAGAGAATGTAGAAAAGTTTGTGTAATACAGAACTTGAAAATATTTGCCAATATTTAACTGATCAAATTTATCTGTATCAACATATTAACACAGCTGAAAACATTTAAACCAGTTCTTAACAGGCTTAACACAGTTCTGGTTGCCCAGCCAGTGCTTCTATGCATTGCATTATTTGAAAGATGTTTTAAACTGGAGAGCTCTCTCAGAGGGTAACAAAACATCCTCAGTGCTGGAGGAGCTCACATACAATGAAATTATAAAGGAAGCAAAACCTGTGAGATGCAGAAAAGAGAAGGAAACATCAATGTAGTTCATGCCTAAGTGAAAAGCAAAGAGGAAGGAAGGAAGGGAAGGATTTAGGTACACCCAAAATTTAGTGCATAAGGAGAAACCATTTGAATAGCTAGAAAGAGTATAATGATCTCCCTATAAAAATGACAGAAACTTGAAAGTATTGTTCTGTTCTGAAGAGCTTCAAAACAGAATGACATCCTCTTTATCACAGCATCTGCTCCTTGCAAGATACCTGAACAAAACAAAATATTCCTGCTTTCCTTCCTCATAAACTTGTTCTCACTGCACAGTTCCATCGCCTTCAGTGAGTGAGGTCGCTGAAGGTATAATCTAAAAAAAGTAGATTTTTCTTTTCTGATGACAGTCAATGAACCTTCTGCCACAAGCAGCTTATCTCTTACTGGAAATAGATTTAAGCACAAACACAGAAAAAGAAGGGACATAACTTAATTCTCACATTTCAAAATTGAGTTTATGGGTCTGGCAGAAAAAAAGAAAAGCACAGTTTTTCACTGGTAAACTTAAAATATTGACAAGTTGCAACTATAGAACCCCAGGATGTACCAACAGAGGCATTATTTGAGACAGCAATTTAGATCTAAACAGAACTACAAAGTAACATACAAAATTAGAGCAAAGAATGTCAAGAAATCACAGTGCTAAGACAATATCCTCAATGGTATGAAAGCAGTTACAGCAAGGAGAAACCAAAAACATCTGCATTCATGACAACAGCACCTTTCAGTGCAGTAACTGCAATTTTCAGATATGTTATACCCATACATAAGTAAGATGACAGTATTATTATATATGTTCTAGAAAACCAAAATTCTGCCTTAGATATTTGCTTGTGCCTGAAGGCAAGAATACCAATCTGTAAATAATTTCTAGAATAATATATTAAGCCAGGTGTGATTTTTTAAACAGATTTATGATGCATGGTAGGTAATTATAAAAGAACAATTTCTTCTCATATTTTTCCAGAGTTTCCAGTAGAATTTGTGATTATATGAATTTAAAAGGTTAAGAATATGAGAAAATCCTCAATTTCTTTTAATTTGGATGCCTGTTGAAGGAAGTTTATTAATATAAATTCAATAATCTGGTTTTCTACTGAGTAGATATCAGAGCATATTCCACAATTAATACTCTGTTCAAATAGGCCAGTTAAGAATCATACATTCTAGTACAGATTCTCTTGCCACATTATAAAAGAAGTTAAGAGAGAGAAGATGTTGATGGTGATGTTGACACATTTGAAAATTAAGTCTCAATGCCACTATAAAAGCATAATCTTTAATATAAAGCCAAATGTGTGCTTTTATTAACCTAAAGTGGAGTCAGGGCTTTCCCAAAGATTATGATGATATTATAGAGGAATATGAGAATTACTAAATTGAGCTACAGCTATTTAGTTTTGCAGCCAAACCTTATGGGCAACCGTTTCTATGGGGATTTTTAATGGCGTTTTTTGGGATTGGTGGTGGTTGGTTGTTTTTGCAGTGTTTTGTAGGGTTTTTTTGGGGTTGCTTCCTTACTAGGTTGCTTGGGGCTTTTTGTGTCTTTTTGAGGGTTGTTTGTTTTAATTGATGTTTTTGGGGGGGGGTTGTTTGTTTTGGTTTGGTTTTTTTATTCTTACTGCTTTTTATTATTGGTACTGATTATCTGATCCCAAAAGAGGAAGCATGTAGAGAAGAGAATGAAGAGAAATTAACAGGTGGACAATTATACCCCATCAGATGTACTTGAAATCAATCACTTGCAATGTACTCAGGCTGTTTTCCTGAGTTTTGTGTCTATGAAGTGTTCAAGGGGAAACCTCAGTAATGATCCAGCTTTCTACACATTGATTTTTAATAGTGTTGTCATTTCAGGCAGTAGAACTCAAGTAAAGACTAAAATGTTTTCTTTTATTTGGGAACTAACAAGTGCATGTATAAATTTCAGCAGAAATAAGGTAAAGAAAATAAAAGGGATGGTTTCATGAAGAGGGAAGATGACCAGAAAGAGGAAAAGGTAGTGTTTTGGGTTTTACTAATGAGGTTTTTAAATGTTGTAAATTCTCCAGGTAGACAGTAATTATTAATAACATCAGTCAGAATATTTCCATGTCTGTTCACCAGCTGCATAAAGTTCATCCACTGGGTTCCAATAAGGGAAAATAGTGTGTTTGTTTATGGCTCATCTGTACAATAAAAATAGGGAAGTTTTACTAAATTAAAAATGAGGAGAAAATAGTTTAGTATTTGTTTTTTCATTAAAGACTCTGTAAATATCTCTAATGTTTATTTTATACTCACTAGGTGTTCGCACAACAGAATGTGCCATAGGCAAGTAATATGTGTAATAACTGACCCACCTCTTCTTATAAAAAAAAAAAAATCTAAAATAAAGCATGAACAGGAGTAGGCAAAATTAATTTAAAACATTTTCCAGTTTAAGGTACTGTAAGTAACTCTACATGTAAGTTAAAGACTTAAAAAGAAAATGTTGATTTTAAACTACTAGTGGTTTAACACCAAAAGCAATCATTTTTGGGACAAGATTCTACTTCAGCAACTGAGTTCGTTTTACCATTTGAATAACCAATAAACTCAAATTACCTGAACAATCCAACAACTAAAATTGCTCAGAAAGTTCCCCACTCTAGTGAGAGCTTTGCCACTGCAATGGGTGATACTCTCACAATTTTCAGAGTCTAAAGTTCCAGAATTACAAAACAGATTTGATATCCAGAAGGCTTTTGGGATCAGATCTTTGCTTTCAAGTGCAAACATTCAGAAACTCTGCACATTTTACTTGTAAAGATTATTGAACTCATTAGCAGTATGATTACTAGAGAACACTTGTTACATTGGTACAGCATGAGACCAACTTTATATTTGAAAGGTCAAATGTCAGGATGATCAATGTCAACTATGTGATCCAAATCTAAACAACACATTTACTTAATTTGAGTTCACAAATAAAATTAATTTTTATTTTACACAGGATGACTAGTACCTAGGCACTTCAAGTTCTAATGTAGTGACTCCTTCCATCTCAGCTTCCCCATCTGTAAAACAGGAATCAAACTTACCTTCCTAAGGCAGCAGATATGTGTGTTGGCTAGGGAGGCTGAAAGCCCTTTGAAGATGAGAAGTGCTCATCATTATTATCCAGTGGCAGCATTCCAATTACAGGCTCTCGTCCTTCTTCCTTTAGAAGGTGTCAAACACAATATAACACTCCATGCATCACAAAGATTAAATATGTCTAATATGACAGGTCTAAGATGGACAGGATATTATCTTAACAAAGTTACATGCAAATATAATTACTTGTTTGCTAATTCATTTCATTTAACCTACAAATGCTGTCAGTCTGCTTCCTGAAAAGAAGGACCCCAGAGCTCTGCCATTAAGGGGGTGTTGTTTCTTAAGCGTGTATATGAAAAACCCTCTTTTTCCTACTACCTCCACCATGTCAGACCTGTTATTTCAGTTTGGTCTTATAAAGACATTGTGAGAATTTCACATTTCTTGGATATCTTGGATTCTTTGAAATTAGTTTTTTTCCTCAGCACTCCGCCCAGCTGCCACACACTTTCTATTAATGAATTAATCCTGGATATATTTTCATTTTACTGAAGCAATATCTAGAGTAGAAAAGCCACAGGGCAGATTTTAAGAACGTTTAAAATTTCAAAAATTTCACAAGGCCACTGTCTGAATATTTAAGTAACTAAAAACCTTCTTTTCTTGAAGTCAGAGAAAAAAACATCAAAAAAAGAATTCATGTGTTTTGATATCAGCAGGATGCATCTTCTGAAGAGGTCACAGTCAGATGGTTCTCTAAATTGACTTCCAAAGCAACAAGTATCACTTCATAACAGAAAAAAAAAAACCAAACCTGTCACCAGCAAAGTACATGCAGTCCCAAAAAGTCCTGGAGGACAAAGGTGCTCATTTCAGAACCACAGGTTTTGTGGTTTTTCAGACACAAGCACGCTCTGGGTGTCCTGCTTCTGCACAAGCCAGGCAAAGCCGCTGCATCCCGGCTCAGCTCCATGGAGTGGACTCAGCTTCTGGCCATGCTGGCAGCTCCCCAGCTGGATGTCCCCAGTGCCAGCAGTGCCCCAGCAGGCACAGCCTCAGCAGCACGGAGCTCACCCCACACCATCGTCAGCAGCAGAATGCAGCCACACAGCCAGGTGCCCTGTGCTGCTCACTGACAAACAGGTAAGCTCGATTTTGCCACATAATGAAGGAAGTGAAGTAAATGAGAAGAGCTCCAAAAGCATGTGAATAGGATAAAGAGAACACTGATTTTTTTTTTTTTTCTTTGCTTTTTCTCAAAATTTTCATGTCGGGCTAAGCCAAGATGAAAGCACCAGCTGACAATCCTCAGCTAACCTGCTGGAAGTCAAGTTTTACAGGTTAAATTCAATGAGGGCTTTAGAAACCCACTGTATTCCTTATAGCAATCCAACTTTAATAAAGAGTTTTCAGACATAACATACCTTTGAAAAAAACAGGTGATGGCACCTCTAGCTTCTGACCTAGATATTTATCTTAACAGGACTAGGATTTACAAAAAGCCCTGCAAAAGGTGCTGGTCTTTCTAATCAGTTTATGCAGTGAAGAATGGGATTTTTAAGGCTCACTTTCCCATGAAACTACAGCCCATGCCCTTTTATGTGGCTCTGTAGGTCAATCCTAGAGCACATGCACAGACAGCCACGACCCCCATTTGCTGCAGCAAGGCACACAAACTCATAGGAGCCTGCTGCCCTTCAAAAAATGGTGAGAAATACTGTATTTTGACTTATTTTAAGCACCCTTGCTACACTGTCAAGGGAATTCCATAGAAAATTCCTTCCTATTGACAGGGACAGCTTGCCAGAGAAATCTGAGCAACAAAGAGATTTCAGTTCTTAGGGAGGTGCTTGCATTTTCTGCAGGTAAGATCACTTAGGAGTCATCCTTTTCTGTTAATAATCACTAATTTTTAAAAACTGATTTTTAAAACCAGGTTAAATTCTTGTTCATGATTCTAAAGATTCAAAACGTTACAGGTGAAGGGTAAAGGACAGTGTTCACTAGAATTATAATTGCCAAGCCATTTGAAACATATTTTTGCAGAGGAGCACATAGATGCACTTAGAAGTTTGATGTTCAGACACACAATTAATTTTCCATCATCTCATGACAGCAAAGAAAGAGGCTGAGAAATGATTGATAGATTACGCTCCAGAGAAACAGAGGGATATCTGTTTGAGCAACTTAACTTCGTCTTGTCAGTTACTTTGCAAGAGATTGACCTTTTTAATTCCCATATGAACCTGAAGTTAGAGCAGAAAAGGCCTGCTATACACACTGTACTGACAGCTAGAAACACTTTTTTTTTCCTTAATACTAGAACACACATTCCTTTATCTTATATTCCTCAAGGGTGGGGCAGTTAGGCTTTAGCCAAAAGAGACACTGCTGGAATGGCAGCAGCAGCAGCCCTGGGGCTACAGCTGGAGCTGTATGACCAAGCCAGAGCATAATTCCTCTGCCTGCATCCTTCACACTCCGGTGTGGTCCAGTGAGGCTGGAGATCCAATTTTGCAACAATCCATCTTGATCTGATCGATGAAAGTACAGTCCTCTACAACTGCAAGTCTCAACAGGCAATACTGAATTCTGATTTAAGTAACTTCCAACTCTGACCACCTGAGTCAGTGGCCACATCTCTATACTAAAGACAGCAAAACACTACAACTCCAAAGGCTGTAAATGGCAGAAGACCAAATACAATCATTTCATATCCATATGATTCATTTCTATCGTTATGTTTTCTTTTCCTTAATGGCTTTCAATATCTTCTGTATCTCAAATAAATGTGCTGGTTAGACTCCTTGTTTGCATAAACTACAAGTTTCTTTATAGCTATGTACACATTCAAAGTAATCTTCGCTAATGTCTACAATAAAAAAAAGAAAACAACAAAGGTAGCACAAAGTAATCTGAAATCTTCCTGTTATTAGATAGCCTGAAATACAGGGTGGATAATTTTCTTTAACCATCTGTCCCAGCCACCTTACACAAATCATAATGCCCCCCCTCATCTGAAGACAAACTTTTGTGGCATCCAGAGCTCTGCTGCACCAAGCAATAGGCACTACACACAGCAAACAGATTTTCAATACCATGCTAGCTGCCACCATTAGTATCCCTTTACTTGGACTCCTTAGATACAGCAGCTGTCTTGATTTAAGATCTTCCCTTCAGCTCAGCCCCAATCAGAGTAGTATCAAAAACCTGGCAGTATATTTAGTTATTTGCTGTAATGAAGCCATACCACACATGCAAGGAGTCTATTGTCAAAGCATAATTGCCACTGCTGCTACACCTTGGGACCTCCAGACTGGATTACTGTATTGATTTTTACATGGAACAGTTGTGGATCACTTAAAAGTTGCAAGCAATGGAGAAGGCAGCTATCAACAAGGAACACAACAATTTTTCAGACTGTATATCTGCCCTGTTAACCCTAATACAGCTCAGGATCTTGATGCTGAGCTATGAAAGGTTAGGTCCAAGCTATTTTTAAGATCACCTTCCTTCCTCAGAGTGTTGTAAGCGTTAAAGGAAGCCTCCTAGTTTTAATTAATAATATCAACAGCAGGACATTTTTATTGAAGCAAATTTAACAGTGGCCTATTGTTTCAGTATGGATCTGATACAGTTCTATCTGTCTATATTTAGGACAAGGTATGAGGACACACACAGCAAACAGGAGCCTACACAAGCATATCTCTGCAGTACATGAATGCTTCTTTTTAATTTCAAAAACATTTTAAAGCCTTGTCTTAAATTTGCAAATTCTTTAACCAAGCTGTCTCTACAATCCCCTCATTTTCCATGATCTTGCAGGATAGCTCTACTCTCAAGAAACAATGCAGCTTTGAGTGAAGCAGCAAGGACCAAGTATTTTCAATGGCTGGATGCCAAATATTAAAGTCCTTGTCAAAAGAATTTTGCTAAAGACTGATATTTAACTCCAAACATAAACTACATTTGGGTGAAACCTTGCTCTAGGTGAACCATTGATAAAAATCATCCCCACAAGGAGAAGAAAACATGTTTCATACATAGCCTTGTGAATGTAAAGAATTAACAGTGTTGATAGAAATGCATACTGATAGTCTTATTTTTTAAAAAATAAAGCTTAATAAACATATTGAAATTCATACCTCAGTGGAAACTAAATTGGATTTTGAAATCTTCATCTATAGATCTTTGAAAGTACTTAGTGTACGATGTCAGGTGATTCCATTTTCAGTGTTTGAAAATCAAACCATGTCCTTCAAAGCTCAGAGAGGATTTAAGCAGCAATTTTGAAAAAACCCCACCCACCCCAAAACCAAACAAACTTGAAAACCTACCTTTCAAATCATATATGACCAAAGAAAGGAAGGGTTGCATACCTGTATGTCTTAATCCTGGCACAGGTATATTTATTTTCTACTGCCTTTGATCAATAAGCAGTAGAAATCCATGCACCTGGGAAGTTAAAACAGAAATTACAGCCTGACTCAGCAGCTTCTCCCACACACAAAGCTGTACTTCTAGAGAGGGTCCTGCTGAGCCAGGATGGCGTTTAAGGAAGGACTGTTAAACATGGAAGAAGGCTACACAATCGGGGTGAATTCATCACTCACAAGAGAACAAGGCAAACAGTAGTATTCCCATACTGTGTTATAGGGGAGGCACATGGTTTATGCATGTTTCCATGGGTGGCTTGGATTAATTACCTATAGCACAGTAAAAAATATGAACCATGAAAACTGAAATGGACTAGTATCATTTCTGGCCACTTAGTGGATTTATGCTCTCAGCATTTTTTCCCACACACTGGAAAACAAACAAGTACAGGTGCAAGCTCCTTGTAAACGGGAACAAGAAAAGCTTTCCAAACAGCTGCTTTATCTGCTTGCTATCTCAAAGATAATACTGCAAGCCAAAGCCCTAACTAATCCAACTGCTGTAATAAAAAGGCTGATGTCATCATTTTTCTAATCACTTCAACAAGGTACATACATATACACAAAGTGATTATTGCATACACTATTGCTCTCTTTGCCTGCAGAAAACTGATCAGCCTATTGATTACAGCTTTATATTTACAGTCCAACAATGCAAGTGTCTTAAGCTTAAAAAGCAATAGCCTGGCTTTCTGGTTGGGTAGTACCCTATCAGAAACCAGTATCTACATTAATATCTCTGACTCACTAAGAAATTCCGCTTTAAAGAGCAGCTATCCACTATCTCCACTAAGAAGTACAAATCCTTTCTTCTTTGCCAAAGACAGAAGCAGCTGCAATTCCAGCCACAGCCCTTACAGATACACCAGCCCTGTCAGCAAACCCAGCCAGGGGCATTATGGTAATTGCAGAATCCTGTCCATTGAAGAATAGGGTTATTGTGAATGAACAGGCACCACTGAGAACCGTCAATGTTTCCAAACAAAAAAGAAAAAAGAGAAGTCACGCTTATGCTCTGAAATGAATATTACAAATATTGTTTCATCTTTAGCCATATGCCTTTGCATTTGGATGGTACCACATCCCAAATGCCACAACTCATGGTCCTGAAATGCTGGGGGGAAGAGCTACAGCCTTGCATTAAGTTCAGCCAGCACCCCAATATGGAACCAGACAATAGATGTCCCAAAGAGCTGTTAAAGTAGAAACTGATTTTTCAAAAATGTTTTTTTGAGGGTGTTGACAGAATACATGAGACAGGTATTAGAGAACAAGAATGCTGCAAAACTACTGGTGTAACCAAAAGATAAAAACAGCAAGTTTGTTTGTTTGTTTTTTTTATTCTACTATTTTCTATTATGTTCCTCCCAAATAATAACTATTATGTGAAGTTGACATTGCAGGTATGCAGCACAGGCCTCTGTTTTGTCAAGGCATTATGGAATTACATGAACTGAGTATTTTAATTGAAATAATCAAAAATTACTCTGAATTGACTGGAACTGAAGCCAAATAGGAGTAGCTTGGCTTTTCTCCAGTACGTGCTAGCAGTATCCCAAGTTTGTTAAACATATTACAAGCTTTTGTATAGGCAAGAGATCACAAGATAAATCAGTTCTCCCCCTTCTGCAGTATACAAATCATATACTCATTCAACACATACGAAATCCTTCTCAGACATCTTGAAATTTTCTTTCTAAGAATACACCAGGCTATCTAATAAATACAAATGTCTTTCATGAGTGGATTCAATTCCCAGTGAGGTTTATAGAGTTCAGGTACATCACAAAGCAGATCCTTTCAATGAGTTAAGCAAAGCTATAGAAAACATCAACACTCACTGAAAGATATTCAACTGTTTGTTTTGCAAAGTTTGCACAGAATTTGTTTAATGTATTTGAAATATTCCTTTTTTGGGAATGAGTTAGTCCTCTAACTTGTTCAAACAATTAATACTTTATATAAATTCATTTTTTCAACTTACTCTGTCACCTTGAATGTATAAAAAGACAAGAAGACAATAAATAACAGTACATACGAAAACCACATAAAACTTCCTGCTTCAATGAATCACTGCACTATTACTTGTACAATATCAATTCCTCATTAAAAAATTACCATATAAAAAGCCTGTGCTCTCTGCCTCAAACGACTGAAAGAGTGAGGTTGTCTATGGAAAGGTGTCCTTCAAGCAGAAATCTCCGGAGTATCCAAAGTGCTGTTGTTATGCAAGCAATCAACGTGGTCATGAGCAGAAGCATCCAGCAAAGACACTGCTGCATTGTGAAGCTGCAGAATGAGCATTACTGCAATTCCTCAGCCTCTGAACACAGCCAGAGCCACAATAGCCTGGCGCTGCCAGAACTCTGGCAAGCACTGATAGACACTAACTGCACCTACACATGGCTGCTCAGATTGTCCCTGCTCTTCGAGGCAGCTGTGGATGAGAGAATGGATAATATCATGGTGGGAAGGAATGATGGTTATGTGTTCATTCGACAATATTCACCACAGCTGACCCAGAGCAGTGCAAGAACAGCAGCTGTAACTGCTCAGAGGATCACAGAGGAGAGGGACAAGAGAAGGAAGGAGGGAAGATAAGAGCAGCCAAAGAGATGATGCATCTAAAAGACTATTCCAAAAAACAGCACTGAAACCTATGAGCAAATCATTAAAATAAAGGCTGAAAGACTGAAAACTTCATCCTAAAGCTGGAAAAAAATTATCAAAGCAACTTATTTCCAAATGATGAACACCATGAAACTTTAATTAAAGTTATTAGAAAGTATGAGTGCTTAGCAGTGATACAGATCAGGTCACTTGGTTATTTAAGAGGGAATGGTGAAATCTCATCTGTGAGATAGGCTACACATCCCAGATTTGGGGTTGGGAGGCTTTTCATGGGCCAGGCTGATGCAGGACTGACATCTCTGAGTGACTTTCCATGTACAGGGTGAGCTAATCCCCATCTCCTCTGATTCCTCTCCAGGAAAGACAGAGCACTACAAGAAAGCCAAAGACCAACAGTTTATGCTGATTTAGGGATATACCTTTATATGTGCCTGGGATTTGAAAATTTTGTTTGCTGTGACTTCACGCATGAGCAAAAGATCTCCTCTTTCCAAACCCTAGTAAATCAAAGCCGCCATTAAATATGAAACTATTTCTGAATCTTCATGGTAAATAAAGAATCCATGTCTTATCTAGCCTTCAATATCAAAGGATATCAAATTCTCAAGGTCATATTTTACACTCCCTGCTAGCACACAGTACAGTTTATTAGCCTGTGGACCACAAATAGTAACTTTTGATATATTAGTGTAGGCAGAGAATAACCCACCTCTGCCAGTTAGACCCAGAAGGCACTCAGAAGTTTATTTTTCCCCCATGTCTTCCATTCTGAAGACTTGGGAAAATGTGAATCCAGCTGATTCCACTGATTCATCTTCTCCACATAAATAGCAATTCAAAAGACAGAAATGTTAAAAGGCTGCTGTCTGTTGAGCTCAATATATTACATCTGGAAAGAAGGCCATTATGACCTGAAAAATTAAAACTGATAAATCTTATGTTGTATCTATATAATGAGAAAAAAGTTAATCATGTGGACTGAAAAGAAAACCATCATGTTACATTTGCCTCTTCTCCAGGAATGTACCTAGAAATGTAAACATTTCAGGAAATAATGTAAACTAACCAGCAACTCTTATATGTGATTGGAAAGGACAACTCTGTCTCCAAAAATAACTACAATCTGTACATCAAAAGAGAAATGAAAGCTCTGAAAGTTTATGTAGTATTTAAATATTGCTGAACTACAAATCTAATGGTTAATTCAAGACGAAAAAAGTTTTATTTATTCAAGATCGAGAAGTCATAAGGGTCTTAACTAGTTCAAATGATCAAAAACTACATTGGAAGTGTGTCTCTTGAGCTGTACACTCAACACATCACCTGTTTTGCAGTGCAACAAGCTACAGGGTGTATATAACCTAGGGAAAATGTCTTCTTACATGTTTTCTAAATCTCCTGTTCATTAACAGATTCATACAGTCTTTTCTCCCCTTTTTATCTCATCCATTAACCTAGAACAAAGTGTTCTCAGGAATGAAAGTGTTGTATTTAAGCGATAAAAAGTGACTATGATAGAAAATTTTACAAATATTTCATTATAGTGAGCAACCACACAGTGTAATACATCCAGTATAGCGCTTAAAAATTCAAAATATCTATATCAACTATAAATATAGTCAGTAAACAAACCCTAAGAAGTCCCAGAACTAAAGCTCACAGCTGATATGTGCTTAACACACAATTGCTGCCAGGCCAAAGTCAGTGAACTCCACAGACAGTATCATATAAAAAACAATGCACATTTGAAAGAGATGGGCAGAGCATTTGGAAAGTCTTTCCAGCCCTAGCTGGCACTCTTCTGGCACAGAAACTTTGTTTAACAGATACTGATGTAAATATAAATCATTAAACTGAACTATATTCATCTGGGAAGGAAGCTTCTTATTCTTGATGGGAATACCCACAAAATAGCTCTTAGTTCCTGAAAGACAGAGAAAAGGTTTCAGCTTCTGGATAGCTTCCCCTATTCACCTGAAATTGTCTCAAATAATTTAATTCAGAGACAGAGCACAGAAGCAGGCATGAAATCACTCTACCACATTAACGTCAGATTAGAGATGGATATAAATTTTGGGAAACAAGTGTAGTCAGACCCACAAGACAACCTCCAGGACAAGGACTTAAAAAATAAGATCTTAAGGTGGAGAACAGTATAAGGCCTACAGATGCAAGAGCCAGCAACTGGAGAATAGTTACTGTGGTACTTTAAGGGGACCTGCAAAAGAGCTGCAGAGGGACTTTTGACAAGGGCATGGAGGGACAGGACAAGAGGAATTACTTTAAATTGAAAAATAAATTATTTACTGTGAGGGTGCTGATGATCTGGCAGAGGTTTGCCAGAGAACATGTGGATGCCCGACCCCTGGAAGTGTTCAAAGCCAGGCTGGATGGTGCTTTGAGCAATCTGGTCTAGTGGAAGTTCTAGTCTCCTATCTGTCCATAGGAGGAGGGCTGTAACAAGAGATGGTCTTTAAAATCCCTTCCAACCTAAACCATTCTACAGCTCTATAATTCCTGCCTCCTGCTGTTATTCAGGAAGAGAAAAAAAAAACCAAACTCAAGCTATCACAGCAGATGAAATATTAGCCAACACTTCAAATGGGTACCCAACATTGCAACACCTGCAATGCCCTTCTGCTCACAAGCAGACATGAATCTCTTCTCTGCCACCATCAAGAGATTTATTATCAAAGTAAATACTGTGGGGGCAAAAAAGGAGTCCCATGATGATCACCTCATTGTAGCCACTCTTCTGACTCTTGCTCTAAGTTCAGCTTCAAGTACCTTCATCCATATCAAGAAAAGCATACTGAAGCCAAAAAGCCTTATAAAATATTTGATTCATCATGGTTTTTAAATAATTTTAAAGCAACAAGTTGAAAAACAGATGCAAAAGTTGAAAAAGTATCTTTTCCCTTTGAGTCCTCACAGAAACATTTGTACACTTCCTAATGAGAGCAGGACACCACCTGATTCATTTTACAAACTCCCCATCCTGCTGGACACTAGAAGAGATACCAGCCTCAGTTTCTGGTACAATCATTAAAATCCAAAAACAGGTAAAACATGGTTCATTCTGAATATTTGCATTCTCTCAAAATAATCAATTTATGCTTCTATTTAAAAAAAAAACAAAAAAACAACAAAACAACACTTCAGATGTCTGCTTCAGTGAGCAAACTCTCCAAATGGGAGAAGGATGGATCCTCCCCTTGGCATGTTTACATCGTTGTAATTAATTCAGACACTACATCTCACCAGTTGTCAATCTGTATATCAAATAATTCAATTTCATGGATTAGGGCACCTAACATGGTGCAGTTAGATGTACTTTCCACTGATACACAACTGTTTGTGAGTTTAACAAAGTCTGATCCTCTCAGAATTGCAGGCAGAAGAAATACAGGGAGCAGCAGGGTCTCCTCTTCTCTCCTTGCACACCCATCAGGGATGACCCCAGCTTTACACAAGTGCTTGAGAATGCTGGGACAGTGTTCAGAAGGCAGGACTTGAAGTTACTGAGATGTCCTGTGCAAAGCAAAGCAGGGTTGGTGGTTGAAGTTCAACACATACAAGCCTCCTCCTCATCTTGTTCCAATAAATATCTCCTTACCATTCTCCCAAGGTCATGTAGCAAGAGATTGTGTTTCACAAGAGAGAAAGGTTTTGAGAAATTTGTTGCTGTGGTGATGTTGATGATTCACGCTTAGTCTGTGGCCTTATACCTAACTAGCATGGCACTAACGTCACACACACGACACCATCAGACTCCTGCAGTTACACTGGAATAGATTCCAAGCCAGCAAAGAACACACACCCACACTCACCTCTCATGGTAATGCAGTGGGACTTAGTCATGTGCTAAAGTGACTTGTTGACTAAAATTGGATTGAAGCCATGTCTGTAGTCAAATGCATGCTGAAATATTTGGCTGAAGAGGGACATAAATCTGCCTTAAATTTAACTTGCTTTGCTTCCTTCATCTCCATAGATTTGTGGTGGTGGTAATAGTTTTTACAGATTCATAGAAAGAGGAATAGAGATTCTTCTACTTCTGTAACATCTCCCAGGACTATCTGGGAGATCTCGGGCTAGAAGAGAATATACCAGTAACACAAACCATAGATAAAAAGCAGCGTTTTGAAAAATGCATTAAAATTAGCTTGTATGATTTTATTTTCAAAATAAAACTTATCAAATATAGGAAAGACTTCCATACCACAAAGCAATATTTATTTTGGTTTCTTCAAAATTCATCAAGCAGATGAATACCTTTAATTGATTTTAGTATAGGAAGAAATAACAATAAGGCTCCAAACACCAGTTATTTGACTCTGATGTCAGTCATTCAGGTGTAAACGGGAAGGAACTCTACTAAAGCCACTAGAAAAAGAGCACTGTCATGACCTAATCTCAGCACTCTACACAAACCACAGCCAACATTTGCCAAAGACCAAAGGTCTGACACTTACCTAGAAGAACACAAAACCTGGCCTGGAGAATCCAAATTGCAGATTACTAAACAAATATGCCAACAAAAGTGCAATAACTACACTACTGCCCAGGATAATCATTATTTTGTAGACATTTACAATGGCAAGCAATAGCCTGATGCTTACATGCTGAAAATCCAAATGGAGCAACAGGAAGCTCTAGGTGGCAAGCTCATTCATTCTCATGCAGTACATAGTAAGACATGATCATCAACTACAACAGGAATATTTCTG